TGTTTTGCCTGTACGTATGTGTATATGAAGGTGTCAGATCCCCTGGAGCTAGGGTTACAAATGCCGTGTGGATGGGAACTGAACCTAGGTTCTCTGGAAGAGCAGCTAGTGCTCTTAAACTCTGAGGCATCCCTCCAGCCCCATAAATAATAATTTTAAAATATTTCAAAAGTGCTAAACTGGCTATATAGTGGGAAAAGTAATAGAAATTTACATTGGTAGTTTGAGATATGAAAAAAAAACCCAGATACATGTTTATTGAAAGAAGTAACATCCCCTAAGGAATCACTATAATCACAGGTGAAATACGGCTAAAGCTGCCCTGAATTCAGAAGGGGAGGCAGCTAGTTCTTTACAAAACATGCCCTCGAAATAGAGCCCAAGTGAGGGGGAAGACAGTTAAGAAGAAGTGAATTAAAAGCTGGTGCACTCCTTAAATATCAACACTCAGGCAAATCTCTTTGAATTTGAGGTCAGCCTTGCCTACATAGTGAGTTCCAGGACAGCCAGGTCTATGTAGAGAGACCCTGTCTCAAAAAAAGCAAAGAAGAAGGAGAAGGAAACGAAGGAGAAGGAGAAAGAAGGAAGAAGGAAGAGGAAGAAGAGGAGGAGGAGAATTAAAGGGGCCAATAAAATAATAAACGCTGCATAGCTTCCACAAACCAACATCCAGCCCCAGATTGTTTATACATAGTCCTGCTGACTCTTTTTCTGCCATAGCTCCAAGAAGGTGATGTTTCCCCTATTTTAGGGCAAACACTCTGACTTGCAGGGTTTGTATGACTTGTCCAGGATTCAGTGGATGTTAGAACGGCAACTTTAAACCTCCCCAACACTGCAGGGTACCTAGTCTCTGCTGTTAGCCTTGAGACTCTGCCAAATCCCCCTCAACCAAACGGAAACAAGGACTCCCATCCCCCCAAATTTCATTTCTCAGATTTACCTTAAAGGATAAAACGAGATAAAGGATCTGAGGTTGAGCTGAGAATCAATCTCTGTTTTAGTAAAGTTGCTCTCTGATCAGCAATTTTATTTCTCAGACTCCATCCCCAGGGAATAATTAGGAAAATGAATAAAGGTTTATATATTTTTTTTTTAAAAAGTCCACCGCAGTGTAATTTATGATAGGACAAGCGAGCCAGAGCGATGACTCAGCAGGTGGGGGTATTGTCGAGTCTAATGACTGGAATCCACAGGGTGGATGGAGAGAACGGATTCCCAAACGCTGTCCTCAGACCCCACACGTGTGCCATGGCATATGCACGCCCAAACACGCAATGAATAAATACAAGTAATGCGAGTTTTAAAAGTCCAGAAAACAACTTTCAAAGCAAAATTAGCCGGTGTGGTGGCATGTGCCTGTAATTCCAGCACTTGGGAGGCAGAGGCAGGTGGAGCTCTGTGAGTTCCAGGCCAGCCAGAGCTGTCTGCCTCAAAAAACAGGAACAGGGGTCCTGTCTCAAAAAACATACAAAACCATAACAACAAACAAACAGAAAGCAAGAAAAACCAAAAACATTTAAAATTGAAAACACCTTTTTTTCTTCGTAGATAGCGTTAAAGGATTGGTCAAATAAGGCAGGGTAGAATGTAGCTATAAATGCCACTGAAATAGTATTTATGAGGAATTTTTAAAGTATCAGCACTTTTTGAATGTACTTTAAAATCTAAGTACTTTAAAAATGACTTTGTTTTTATTTATTTATTTATTTGTGTGTGTGTGTGTGTGTGTGTGTGTGTGTGTGCCGTGTGTGTGTGATGGGCACAGGCAAGTGTGCACAGAGGCGGGAGAAGAGCCTCAGGGATCCTTTCCTAGCACCCATCCTCACATTCCTTTAGGTGGTTAGTGTATTTCACTGAACCTGGAGCTTGCCTTCATCTTTGGTCTAGGCTGGCAAGCAGCCAGGCCCAGCGATCCTCCTGCCTCCACTATTGTAATGCCAGGGTTATAAGCATGTGTGAGTTATGTAGGTGCTGGGATCCAAACCCATGGCCTCAAGTTTACACAAGAACTCTTAACCCCTGCATCATCTCTTCAGTCCTGAATCACCCAGTCTTGAAGGAGGGTGTGCAAACTAAAAGGGAAGGTTTACGAGACAGTTTAAGTAGCCAATGGCGCCCATCTGTCTCTTCCAGCCTCACTGTCTTCCTCCACATAAATGCTATCCAGACAGGTTCCACCCCTTGCCTAGGGAGCCTTTCTGGGGCAGACTAATTTAAAGATGATGCTGGGGGTCTCAGATAAAGACCTGAGAGCTGGGAGAAAAGAGCAGGAAGGCAGTGAAGAAGTTTTGCTACAAGGTTGCTAAGGGCCTGATGTATTTATCGGATCTTTAGGAGACCTTTATTTCCTTTCCATGTTGACCAGCTTCTTTCTTGCCCTTTCATTTCTTTCATAGAGCCAGATCTACTAGCTCGTCCCTTTCTTTTCACATTTATTTATTTAAAACTTTTTTTTGTGTTTGTGTTCCTACCTGTCTGCCACAGCACACATGTGGAGGTCAGAGGGCAGCTCTCAGGGGAGCCAGTTCTCTCCTCCACCGTGTGGGTTCCCAGGGATTAGAGCCAAGTCATCCGGTGCTATCAAGTGCCATTGTCCACTGAGCCACTACCTCTGTTTTTTTCTGAGAAACAAAACAAAATCCCCAGGAATTTCCAAAGAGAGTGAGAACCTGAACATTAGCTCACATAAGGTGACTCCACCCTCCTCTGATCACTTACCTAGCCCATGTCTAGACTCGAGGAAGCTTCTATGCTTAGTGCTCGTGAGGCTTCTGGGATGCAGAAGAAGCAACTGAAGACGGCACTCAGCTGGGTGTGCTACTCACACTTTTAATCCTAGCACTTGGGAAGCTGAGGCAAGAGGATTGCCTCAAGTTCTAGGCCCGAGAGCCCATCTCAAAAAACAAAAAGACTAGGGCTGACGAGATGGCCTAGAGGGTAAAAGTGCCTGCCCCAAAGGTTGGTGTGTGTTCAGTCTCTGAGTAAGAGTGGCCCCATAGGCTCATGGGTTAGCATGGGTAGTCATCATGGAATGGTGCCCTTTGAAAGGAGTTGAAGGATTAGGTATATTATTTGTATTTTGATAAATGAATCTTGCCTGAAGACCAGAGGCAAAGCTAAAGCCACTAGAGGTCAGGCAAAGGTGACACACACCTTTAATCCCGGGATTTGGGAGACAGAGGCAGGTGGATCTCTGTGAGTTCAAGGCCACCCTGGGCTATACAAGATCAATGTAGAAACAAATCCAGTTGGTTGTGGCTCACACTTTTAATCCCAGTCATAGAGAATCACACGCCTTTAATCCCAGCACTAGAGGGAATATAAAATGAGAGAAGAGAGAGGGTTAGTCTGGTTAGTTTCCTATCGCCAAGCCTTGGTAGAGGTAAAATTTCTTTAGTGACTTGGTTGCCTTGTTTTTCTGGTTTTCCGGTTTAACCCCAATTTCGTCTCTGTGTTTTTATTATTCATGCTAGAGGGACTCTCAACTGAGTCTATCAATCTGCCTTCATATGATTTGCCAGTAGGCAAATCTTTGGGGAGCAGTTTTTTTTTTTTTTGATTAGTGATTGATGTGGGAAGGTATCATCACTCACTGTGGGCGGTATCATCCCTGGACAGGTGGTCTTGGGTTGTGTAGGAAATCAAACTGAGTAAGTCATAAGGAGAAAGGCAGGAAGCCATGTTCTTCCACAGCTTCTGCTTCAGTTCCTTCCTTGAGTTCCTGCCTCAGTTTCCCTCAGTGGACTGTGAATTGGGATGTGTAAGCCAAATAAACCCTTTCCTCCTCAAGTTGCTTTTGGTTAGGGTTTTATCACAGCAATAGAAAGCAGACAAACATGTCAATCATTTGTTTGTTTGTTTGTTTAAGACAGGGTTTTTCTGTGTAACAGCTCTGGCTGTCCTGGAACTCACTCTGTAGACCATGCTGCTTCTAACTCACAGAGATTTGCCTACTTCTGCCTCCTGAGTACTAGGATCAAAGGCGTGTGCCACCACCACATGGTTCTCAATCATTAAAAAGAAAAAAAATCTCTCTCAAGTCTTCTGAGAAAATGCAAGAAGAAACTGTTCTTCCCATTTGCCATTCTCACAAAGAGAGTGAGGGCCCGAGGTAATGAGGTGACTTTGTTAATCCTTCCCATATGTTCAGAGTGTCGCAGTAGGCTAGGATTTCAGCTCGAAGCCAGGGATGCAGAAACAGGGTACATTAGGTTCCAGATGCTCATTCTGAGAGAGGAGGAATAGTAAACAAGTCTGAAATGACGTAGGTGCCAGCAGAGGACTGTGGGAGCTCAGGAAGAGGAGAGTGTGCCTCTGCTGTGCTCAGGGTAAGCGACGCTGTGAGGACGAAGAGACACCCGCTAGAGGGAAAAGACTCCAGGCGGAAGGGTTGCACAAAGTAGGGACAAAAGGAAAGCATATTGTGGCGCCTTTGGATTACAGTAACGTCACTGGCATATTGTTATATAAAGATAGCACAGGTAGATAGATGGGAGAATGGTTGAGGGGGACAGCCGAAAGAGCTGAAGTCTAGTGTTTGTGAAGGTGGACAGTTCAGGTTTTATCTGTGGAGCTGTGAGGAGCCAAAACAGTTTAAAAATGAGCCCACCCTCCTACAGGGGATTCTCCTTGATCACCAGGTCTCCAGAGTATATTAGGGCCTACCAGGCTTGTCCTTTATCTACTGTTCTGCTAATTGTGTTTTCCTATTCTTGTTTTCTGAAGTGACCTGGAGATCAGTCACCCTGTCTGGTTCATAGTTGAACACCCCCACCCCCTATGCTCAGCAGGGGCTCACCCCAGAGCAAAGTGCTCAGCAAATATTTGTTGAAAGAATGAATGGGAGGAGCCGGGTTCCACCCCAATCCTGAGACAACACTTGGGGCCCGAACCCTGGTGGGGAAGCTCTGAGCAGTGTTTCTTCTGCCATGGTCCGTGCCCATTAGAAGGCTGGTGACTCTGAGTCACACCACAGTAACTACAGGCCTCTCTTGCAGATGGCTTCAGTAACTGAGGGTAAAGCTGGAGTCAAAGATGCCTCTGACCAGAATTTTGACTACATGTTCAAACTTCTCATCATTGGCAACAGCAGCGTTGGTAAGACCTCCTTCCTCTTCCGCTATGCTGACGACACCTTCACCCCGGCCTTCGTCAGCACCGTGGGCATCGACTTCAAAGTGAAGACAGTCTACCGCCACGAGAAGCGTGTGAAGCTGCAGATATGGGTGAGCGCTAGGCACTGTGGGCAGAATGGGACAGGGCTATGGGCACATGGCTTGGGAGGTGGGGCTAGCGTACATCTGGGTCTCACAGCATCAGACAACAATGCCATTTCAGGTCTGGGCCTCCATTGCCCCATTTTCTTCCCCTGCATACTTATTCTCCATTCAGTTGCTGCTTAACTTCCAAAAGGCTTTATTCTGGCTTTTATAGACCAAGAAACTGGGCATTAGAGTTACAAACTGGGTTTCAGTTCTACTTCTACCACTTGCAAGCCATGGGAATATGACTAAGCTATTTAAGCCCTCTTGGCCACCCTTTCCTTCGGGGGATTATAATCTCATCTAGTTACAGATGGTTGCATAGTGTAGTTCCTAGACACAATGCATACACCATAGATATATACAAATCAGTCATCGATCGTTGCATAACAAATCACTCCGTGGTGTAAAACAAGAGCAATAACTGATCACCTTCCCGACTCAGTGGGTCTAACAGTAGGGTTCGCTTGGGGCCTTTCGTGACGTGTGTAGCCGGATAGTGGCCTGAGTTGCAGTCAGGTGGAGGACTGTCGAGGGCTGGAGGGTCCGCTTCCAAGACGGCTCCCTCACATGTCTGGTGCTGGCTGTTGGCAGGAGGCCTTCCTTCCTCTCTTCCCAGCTGGCTGTCTTAGCATCTCCATGGGGCTGCTTTACCATCTTCATTGTATGTATTGACAGCTGGTTTTCCCCTGCGTGAGAGCTAAGAAACCAAAGAGAAAAAGGGCAAACGCCTGTTAGTCACACAGCCTTAGAGTATTCTCTGGGTTACTGATTGAGTGTGGGAAGAACATACACAGAGGTCCAAACACTGGGAGGAAAGAGTCATGGAGGTCTGACCGTCTTGGAAGTTGGAGGCTCAGCTTCTCTTACTATCTGCTGGTGGCACTAAGAATACTTGCGCCTATCTGAAAAGTTCGTCAGAGTGCTTAGCAATAGTGTAGCCTTGCGGCTGGAAATCTTGAAAATTTGAGAAATAGTCAAACCATGTGATGCTATTGTCTATTATACTTAATAAGTGTATAATAATATATTGGACATGTATCTTACTGGAGAGTCTACATCTATTTTTATAAACTATTTCTCATATATTAATATACATACATGTTTTGAAGTATGTAACGGCGTAAACAAATGCAGACAGATTGTAAAAATATATATATCTATAGCTTTAATGTAGAAATAGACTTACAAAACCACCGTTCTGCGGAGACCAGGAAAGCAGAAGCAACTGCTGGGAGCACGCTCGCCAAATTTATAGGCAGACATTAGCCCGAGGCGAACACGCCCTCCAAGGGGCGGGACTTATCCCTACAGAAGTAAACAGCATTTTTTTTTTTTTTTTTGAGACAGGGTCTCATTTTTTAGCCTTGGCTGATGTGGAACTCACTATGGGGATTCACCTGTTTCTGCCCCCCTGAGTGTTGGGATTAAAGGCAACTTCCACTTATAGGTACACAGTATTTCAATATAGCAGCCCCCCCCTTTTTTTTACAGAAGAAATAAAAACCTCAGAGATTAACATGTCTTGAGTCAACCACACAGCTAGAAAGTGACATTTTAATTCAGATCTTCAAATTCTGAATTATGTGCTGTTTTCTCCACATTGCGCGTCTGAAATCGTAGACAGATCACATTTCCATTTAAAATAATGTTAAATATTAATTTCTAGAGGGGTGCGTGCCCATTGACTTCCTACTAAAGGGACTGAAACATCATAAACCATTAGAAATAGGAGAAGCTCTGAAGGTTGTCTAATTCATTTGTTCTCCAGTTGTGATTCAACCACATCAGCAACACTTGGGGATTTGTTAGAAATTCATTCTTGGGCCTCACCACAGATGTAATGAATCCAAAATGCTGGAAATAAACCCCCAAATCTGTGCTAGCAGGCAGTTCTAAGGCAGGCTAGAACCCCAAATCTGTGCTAGCAGGTGATTTTTAAGGTAGCCTAGAGCCCCAAATCTGTGCTAGCAGGCAGTTCTAAGGCAGGCTAGAGCCCCAAATCTGTGCTAGCAGGCGGTTCTAAGGCAGGCTAGAGCCCCAAATCTGTGCTAGCAGGCGGTTCTAAGGCAGGCTAGAGCCCCAAATCTGTGCTAGCAGGCGGTTCTAAGGCAGGTTAGAGCCCCAAATCTGTGCTAGCAGGCAGTTTTAAGGCAGGCTAGAGCCCCAAATCTGTGCTAGCAGGCGGTTTTAAGGCAGGCTAGAGCCCCAAATCTGTGCTAGCAGGCGGTTTTAAGGCAGGCTAGAGCCCCAAATCTGTGCTAGCAGGCGGTTGTAAGGAGACTAGAGCTGGAGACCCAAATCTGTGCTAGCAGGCGGTTGTAAGGAGACTAGAGCTGGAGACCCAAATCTGTGCTAGCAGGCGGTTGTAAGGAGACTAGAGCTGGAGACCCAAATCTGTGCTAGCAGGCGGTTGTAAGGAGACTAGAGCTGGAGACCCAAATCTGTGCTAGCAGGCGGTTGTAAGGAGACTAGAGCTGGAGACCCACTGATGTAGCCTAACTACCTTGTGATGAGTGTTGATGAGTACATGGGAGTACCTACTGTGTGCTAGGTACCTACTGTGTGCTAGGTACCTACTGTGTGCTAGGTACCTACTGTGTGCTAGGTACTTTCACTTATATTATCTGATGTCAACCCCAACACAGGAATGCATGAAAGCACACACGTGTAGGTGATCAACACTTTAAAACTGGATCAAGAGAGAGCGAGAGAGAGAAAGGTCTGCTATAGGCAGCTGATTGGGGGTTGGGAAAACCTTGCATAAAACACAGACAACTCTTGCCATTGACCCGATGGCACATGCCTGATACCTATCCTGAGAGAACTGAAGAAAATATTAGAACTTGTTTTAAAATCTATTAATGCAGATGGATTTATTTTAACTATGTAGACTGGCATGGATTTCCTTTGTGGTTTCTATACTAGATGGTCACATATCCTACAGCTGAAAAATCTTGAGGCAAGAGGCATTCTGCCAGTCTGCAGGCTTGGCAGTAGTGACTCCCTTACACCCTGGTGTACTGAGAGCGTTTGCGGTTTTGATGTGCCTGGCTTAAGTAGATGTATTGATTATGCTACTTAGTTTTAACTAAATGAAACCCCACAATGGGTGTGTGGTTTTTAAAGAGTCCTGTAAAGAAACCTCCTATTGGAGACTATGCTAAGTATAATGACCCCAGTGAATATAAGAAAGTAGTTGACTGCCCAGTCTACAGCTTCCTGGCACAAGGTCATTGTCAGTCATGTTTCCAGGTAAAATCGATGAGTCATTAGACCTGACTCATTGCTTTGCTTACAATTTTTTCAAGGATTTCCATGTAGCAAAAATGATAACTTCTATACTGTTTATATTAAAATTTAAATATTGTTTTATTTTTTTCTGTGTCTGTATTTGTGTGGATAGAGTGAGCACATGCCAACATGTTTGACCAGAGATTAATTTTCAAAAACTATATTTAATTGTGTCTGTGTGGGTTTGTTCATGTGAGCATGCAGTGCCCGAGGAGGCCAAAAGAGGGAGTCAGATTCCTTGGAGTTGGAGTTAAAGGCAGTTTCGAGACATCCCAGATTGGTGCTGGGAAGCAAACTTGGGTTTTCTTGAATGGTTGGCATGGGAGCTCTCTCTCCAATCCTAGAGTTCTTGTTTGTGTAAGGGGATTGAACTCAGGCCATCAGGGCTCACATCATTAGAAGGTGAGTGCCTTTACCCACTGACCCATATTGCTACCGCCAGGCTTCTTCCTCTCTTATTCTCCACCTCATTTTTTGAAACAGGGTCTCTCATTAGACCCAGAGCTCACCAGTGTGGCAAGGTTAGCTGGTCAGCTAGCACCAGGACCTTCTCTGCTTTCGCAAAGCCAAGATCACAGGTATACACCTGGCTGGGTATATACCCAGTGCTGGGAACCTGACCTCAGGTCCCCAGGCTTGCACAGCTAATGCTTTGCAGACTAAATCTTCTCTCTAGCTCCTATTTCATTTTATATATCTTAACATAGTCTGTGCACAGAGTATGCATATGTAATCTATGTGTATGCTGTACCTGAACTTCTCTTCCTTAAATGGATATGTTTGGAGGCCTTGATGATAAGCATTGGGAGAAGTGTGGAAGGATTTTGACAAAAACAGAACTGCATCTTACAAAAATTTCTGGCTTTAGATGATGGATGGATGGAAATGAGATAAAGGAACTGTGGTTTGGATCCAAATCCACCAAACTATATACATTAAATGCATTTTTATATACCGGTTAAACATTGTGAAACCATTTAAAGTAAATACATAGGTATTGACCAAGTTATAAAAGAGAAGGGCAATTAAAGTTACCCAATGGCTTGGATAGTTTTTAATGGTCTAAACCTAAAGAATACAGGAGTCATGAAAAATGATATAAAACTAGTTGTTTTTATAGTTTTCACTCTGTTATGGATTTTTCTAGTTTTTTTTTGTATGTGTGTGTTGGATAACTGCATAAAAATATAAGTCATAGTAAAAATGTAAAATGTAACCGCTTCAGAATTGCTATTCTGACTATCAAAATCATTGGAATGTATAGACTTTGGGCCTGGCTAATCTTACTGTGTGATTGTTTTTGCAGGTTATTTATAATAAAGCTTTAATACTAGTAACAATAATAAGGCTTCCAAGCAAGTGTGGAGGTTTGGGTGCGAGTGTCCCCACAGGCTTGTAACTTGGTCCCCAGTTGGTGGAACCGTTTGTGAAGGATTAGGTTGTGTGACCTTGCTGAAGGAGCTGTGCCAATGGAGGCAGACTTTGAGATTTCAAAAGCTCATGACGTTCCCAGTTATCTTTCTCTACCTTGTGCTTGTGGATAAAAATGAGAGCCTTCGACTACTGCTCCAGCACCAAGTCTGCCTGTCTGCTGCCATGCTCCCCACCATGGTGGCAATGGACTCTACCTCTCTGGAACTGTGAGCCCCTAAGTAAAGACTTTTTAAAAA